ACGCCAGGAAAGCTCCGCATAATCTGCATATTCTGATACACACATGTATCACAATTGTGCTTTTAAAACATCAGAGTCTATAGCGCACTGATGAAGGGGTTTGTAGCAGACCGCATTTCAAAACTGCGCAGATGTCTTCACTTACACATTTTGTCTTTGAATTGCTGTTTTTAACGGGAGGAAGTAAAGTACAGTCAAGCACGATGGAGTTATTACAATTCTGGAATGATTTCAATTCAATCAGTGTGCTGGCTTGTTGAATAAATGCGTGACATGAGTTGCAGACCAACTGTATTCAGACAGTAATGTGGAATTAAAGTATGAAGAGAATATTTAGGGCGCATTTCTTCCCATCATCGACTCACTGTGAGAATATCTTCCCTTCTCTGGATGACCGTGATGTCTCCAGCATGTTGCAATTAGCTTCTGGCTCCAGATCAACTGCAAAGTCTTATTTCCTGCAGAGCATTAAACACTGAGGTTGCATACGATTGTTTCATAATCATATTTGGGTCATTGGGTTTGGCGAGTGTTTCTGGATTATTTAACCACAAGTATACAACCAGGCCAACTCCACACAGCCATTAGACAGGTGTTCAAGAAGCTTTGTTTTTCACATTCTTCACAAAACTTCTACCATCTCCTTTGGCTGACAAAACAAGGAGAGACGACCCTTCTCATTCACCCTCTGATCCAACATCAGCATCATCCACCAACACTTGTGATGGTCTATGTGCTGTTTGTGTACATGCAGTACTTGATAACATTCATTCCAGCAGAGGAAGTTGGTTGACAAAGTTTGATAACCAACACCTTAAAGAGGCCCTACAATGCTTTTGGGGGGTTTTCCCTTTCCTATGGGTGTGTTATATAGGTTTGTGTGCATGTAAATGGGCTGCAAACACCTCTATTGGACTCCCTTGTTTATTTCCAGAACATAGTGACATCACTTTGTACACTCTGGCTTTTATTGGCTAGCGCTCCAACATATTGTACGTGATAGGCTAAGGGGCGAGACATCTCAAAGCGGTGGACCAATCACAACAGAGCCGGCCAGCTGACCAATCAGAGCAGACTGGGCTCTGGTTTCAGACAGAGGGTGAAAAGAGGTGCTGCAGCACAGACAGTATGAGAACAATAAAGAGCTTTTTGAACATTAGAGCATGGAGACATGTAGAGACACTACATACTGATATACACCTGAACATCAGCAGGAGAGCACTCTTTAAAGTAGAGACACTACATACTGATATACACCTGAACATAAGCAGGAGAGGACTCTTTAAAGTAGAGACACTACATACTGATATACACCTGAACATAAGCAGGAGAGGACTCTTTAAAGTAGAGACACTACATACTGATATACACCTAAACATCAGCAGGAGAGGACTCTTTAAAGTAGAAACACTACATACTGATATACACCTGAACATCAGCAGGAGAGGACTCTTTAAAGTAGAGACACTACATACTGATATACACCTGAACATCAGCAGGAGAGGACTCTTTAAAGTAGAAACACTACATACTGATATACACCTGAACATCAGCAGGAGAGGACTCTTTAAAGTAGAAACACTACATACTGATATACACCTGAACATCAGCAGGAGAGGACTCTTTAAAGTAGAGACACTACATACTGATATACACCTGAACATCAGCAGCAGAGGACTCTTTAAAGTAGAGACACTACATACTGATATACACCTGAACATCATCAGGAGAGGACTCTTTAAAGTAGAGACACTACATACTGATATACTCCTGAACATCAACAGGAGAGGACTCTTTAAAGTAGAGACACTACATACTGATATACACCTAAACATCAGCAGGAGAGGACTCTTTAAAGTAGAGACACTACATACTGATATACACCTGAACATCAACAGGAGAGGACTCTTTAAAGTAGAAACACTACATACTGATATACACCTGAACATCAGCAGGAGAGGACTCTTTAAAGTAGAGACACTACATACTGATATACTCCTGAACATCAACAGGAGAGGACTCTTTAAAGTAGAAACACTACATACTGATATACACCTGAACATCAGCAGGAGAGGACTCTTTAAAGTAGAGACACTACATACTGATATACACCTAAACATCAGCAGGAGAGGACTCTTTAAAGTAGAGACACTACATACTGATATACTCCTGAACATCAACAGGAGAGGACTCTTTAAAGTAGAGACACTACATACTGATATACACCTAAACATCAGCAGGAGAGGACTCTTTAAAGTAGAGACACTACATACTGATATACACCTGAACATCAACAGGAGAGGACTCTTTAAAGTAGAAACACTACATACTGATATACACCTGAACATCAGCAGGAGAGGACTCTTTAAAGTAGAGACACTACATACTGATATACTCCTGAACATCAACAGGAGAGGACTCTTTAAAGTAGAAACACTACATACTGATATACACCTGAACATCAGCAGGAGAGGACTCTTTAAAGTAGAGACACTACATACTGATATACACCTGAACATCAGCAGGAGAGGACTCTTTAAAGTAGAGACACTACATACTGATATACACCTGAACATCAGCAGGAGAGGACTCTTTAAAGTAGAGACACTACATACTGATATACTCCTGAACATCAACAGGAGAGGACTCTTTAAAGTAGAAACACTACATACTGATATACACCTGAACATCAGCAGGAGAGGACTCTTTAAAGTAGAGACACTACATACTGATATACACCTGAACATCAGCAGGAGAGGACTCTTTAAAGTAGAGACACTACATACTGATATACACCTGAACATCAGCAGCAGAGGACTCTTTAAAGTAGAGACACTACATACTGATATACACCTGAACATCATCAGGAGAGGACTCTTTAAAGTAGAGACACTACATACTGATATACACCTGAACATCATCAGGAGAGGACTCTTTAAAGTAGAGACACTACATACTGATATACACCTGAACATCAGCAGGAGAGGACTCTTTAAAGTAGAGACACTACATACTGATATACACCTGAACATCAGCAGGAGAGGACTCTTTAAAGTAGAGACACTACATACTGATATACACCTGAACATCAGCAGGAGAGGACTCTTTAAAGTAGAGACACTACATACTGATATACACCTGAACATCAGCAGGAGAGGACTCTTTAAAGTAGAGACACTACATACTGACATACACCTGAACATCAGCAGGAGAGGACTCTTTAAAGAAGAGACACTACATACTGATATACACCTGAACATCAGCAGGAGAGGACTCTTTAAAGAAGAGACACTACATACTGATATACACCTGAACATCAGCAGGAGAGGACTCTTTAAAGAAGAGACACTACATACTGATATACACCTGAACATCAGCAGGAGAGGACTCTTTAAAGTAGAGACACTACATACTGATATACACCTGAACATCAGCAGGAGAGGACTCTTTAAAGTAGAGACACTACATACTGATATACACCTGAACATCAGCAGGAGAGGACTCTTTAAAGAAGAGACACTACATACTGATATACACCTGAACATCAGCAGGAGAGGACTCTTTAAAGCAGAGAGATTACATACTGATATACACCTGAACATCAGCAGGAGAGGACTCTTTAAAGAAGAGACACTACATACTGATATACACCTGAACATCAGCAGGAGAGGACTCTTTAAAGTAGAGACACTACATACTGATATACACCTGAACATCAGCAGGAGAGGACTCTTTAAAGTAGAGACACTACATACTGATATACACCTGAACATCAGCAGGAGAGGACTCTTTAAAGTAGAGACACTACATACTGATATACACCTGAACATCAGCAGGAGAGGACTCTTTAAAGAAGAGACACTACATACTGATATACAGTACACCTGAAAATGATCAGAATATGACCTCTTTAAGTAGATTTTGCTTATATAACATGATCTTACTCTCCTTAAGCTTCAGCTTTTTTGCAGAAGAGAGTGATAGTCAGTCATTTTAGCTACATTTGAAAGTTTCTAAAGTGTGTTCCATTTCCCTGTGGACTGATATGAAACCCATTCTGGGCAATCTTCAGTCTGTGTCTTTCACATTTTAGGAACAGAATTGAAATACTCTTTTGCAGCCAATGTCCCACGACATACTGTAATTGCCAAGAGGAACTAAAAGCTGGCCTGTCTTCAATCAACCATACGAGGGACAGCAGTGTGTTTCTCTCTCAAACACTGGTCTCAACACATCTGGCAGATCTCCCGTGGATCACACAGGGATTCTACAAATCTCACCCATGCGTTGTTGAAGTCCCACACAGAGTTTCATAGCCTGATCGTGTTACGAGTGCAAAATCAGAGTTTGTTCACCACACCATGGCAACCCCCTCTCTAATCTACTGTACGTTGCATGTTTGTATTCGATTGTACTTGTTTAAAATGAAATGTGTCTTTAGGTTGACATACTAAATCTGACAGATGATAAATAGCCTCTTACATTTACAGAGGTAAGGCAAGTGCTTTACACAAAGGAAAGACATTAAGAGCATTAAACACATTAGAAACATTAAAAAGCAAAGATATTAAAACATGAATAATATAGGTACATGAATAAAAGTTACAGTGCAGTGTAAGATGTGAATAGTTCAATTAAAAGTAGCGGCAAAAAGAAAGTCTTCAGCCTGGAGATGTTGATTAATGTGCACTGTCCCTGTTAAATACATGAATACATATATAACATAATCTCCCTCTCCTACACCGCCGTCTGTGAGAAACTCTGACGAAACTGCAGTGAACTTCTGTCACCGACGAATCCATTTTCATATGTGAGGAAGTGTGACCCGGGCAGATTGAAAAACAAGTGTAAGCAAGCTGTGACAGGTCTTCACTCTGAATGTAAGTCCTCTCTATTGTTTCATCTCTATTAGTGAGCCGGCCCACTCCTCTGAAAGTGGTCTTATCTGTGATCATGTGACCAACCAAAACTCCACCCCAGGCCCAGGCTTTGGGAGTAATGGATTACATGTAACAGGATGACGTAATCATACAAAAAGGTAACTTCATAATCCTGATTACAGTTACATTTCAAACAATTGGGGATTAGCAGGATAACAGTGTACAAATCTAAAAAGGTCATGTAGTGTTTGTTGTAAAGGATCAGCTGTTATCTCTTCTCTGTGAGCTGTTCTGTTCTGTAGGAAAATACTTTAAGAGTGAATCTATACGTGTACTGCCTGAATCTGCTTCATGGTTTCCACTTTCTTTGCTTCATTTGTTCTGTTTCTAATTCAGCAGGTGAACCTATATGTTCATAACATAGTGTGTGTGAGCTTAACTGTGTGTGTTAAACTAAATCGGAGCATTTTCTGTCAGCTCAGATTTCATTTCTGCTTTTTTAAACTGTAGTATAGCTCATGTTGGTGTATGGGCTGAATATGCTTCATGAAAGGCAGCTTTTCCTGTCAATAAAATCATTTCTGATCCTAAATATCTTAGTTTCTTCTTTTCTAAGGTTACATTATTCTATTGTCTTACCTAATGAGAAACAAACAAACATCTTATTGATATACATGTTCTCTTGCATTTGATATTGAGGTGATGCAAAAGTGAAAAGTAATCAGGTTACATTGCTTTTTTATATTTTGATACTCAGAATAGGTTAGTGATTTCTACAGTTAACCAGTAATTGTAACGGAATACATTTTAAAAGTAATCCTGCACATCTGTGTGTCTGCTCTTCATTACACATCAGAATCAGGAGCAGGTTTATTACCAGCTAGGTGGACACGTATGAGGAATCTGACTTGGTGTCGTGGTGCGTACATAAAAGTAAACCAACATTTTAAAACACAGATAGAGAACTATTTTAAGAACACTATAATAACATTATGATGGGATTTCCTCCAGCGGTGCTCCCACCAACATTTGCCTGATAACGTCTCTGTATCTCCGGACACACACAGAGAGAGAGAGAAAGTCTGGAGAGGTTAGTAGAAGTTGTCGGAGGAGGGGGTTTGAGTTGTATTTTAGTGGGTGTGTCTGCCCGGGGCTCCAGTCGCTCTCTGACCGTCTGAAGACTCACTCTGAGCGGATAGCAGAGCACCGACAGCCCGCAGGTCTCCAGTAACTCAACCTGGTTTCTACGAACTCCTTGGACTTTCTAACAGCTTTGTATCGAGGATTTGGAGCATGCAGTTTAATCCCCGGATGTTGTGGTAGCACCGTAGAGTCCTTCGATACAGAGGTTAGCTTTAAAGTTTTTTGAAGGAGTTCAACTTCACTTTTCGCTGCAATTGGGGCCAGTGTTTGAGTTTGGTGAGTTCTTTCAGGTGAGAAACGATGACAAATTCTACAAAATCTATGCAGTCTGCTCAGTGGTGCAATGTTATGAAGTAGATTTACTCAAGCCTGAGTACATTTTGACGTACTTTAACCAAGTATTTGTTTTTTACTAGATGTCAGAAGCTATAGTACTTTTATATCTAATATCGGCTAGCTATCCCTTTTCTCTACACCACTACATGTAAATGGCAGCTTTAGTTACTTTACAGAGTCAGATTATTAGTAAATACAAATTATAATCAAATAATAAATCAACATATAATTATAGATTAAGATCTCCAGCAGCAGTAAATACAGTTATTAAAACGACCCTTACCAGCTGTGATGAACACATTCATGCATCTATAATGATTTAGTAATGCATATCAAGTATCATTTTGGTACTTAAAGTATATGTTGATCCCATTACTTTTGAACTAAGCTGTTGAATGCAGGACTTTGACTTGTAACAGAGTATTTTTACAGTATACAATCTCAGTAGTTCTTCCACCTCCTAGTCTGTTTGGTCCAAAATAGGGCTCGAAAGTCTCTCATGTAGCTAACTGCATACAGATACAAATTATTCAACCCTTCTTCTATTTCTCTGCTTGTCATTGTTTGTTAGATATGCTTGGCTTTGACACTATAACATATTAAAAACAGCCTTCTGATGGTGTGGGAAAAACAATAAAGAAACACCTTCATTATAGAGCACGGAAAAAGGCTGTAATAGTTTAACACACTGGTTTACACTACAGTTTGCTGGTTGGAGATGTACTGCCTGGTGACCAACAAAGCCATTATTTTCTGTCCATTAAAGTTCTTTAAATGTATATTTTTTCACACCAAAATACAAAAAACTAGTTACAATTTCACTTTGTCACAACCAGTGGTAGAATTTACTTTTACTCAAGTACTTAAGCACAAGTTTGAGGTACTTGTACTTCACCTGAGTATTTTTATTTTATGCTACTTTATTTCCACTTCATTTTGGGAGCCACAATTGTACATTTAAACATTAACATTGATGTATATGTTACGATATCCAGCAGTGAATAAAGTCATTAATATTAGGTCCGCCTTCACCAGCTGTGACGAACACATTAATTCATCAATAATCATAAAACAGTAATTCAATACGAATCTGAAATGGGACTTAATGCATAACGAGAAGTTTTACTTTTGATGCTTTAAGTATTTTTTGAGACAATACTTGTGTCCTTTTTCTTAAGAAAGATTTGCATGAAAGACTTGACCTTATAACAGAGTATTTTTACATTTGTGTATAGCCATTTTACTTAACTATAACATCTGAGTACTATTATAAGCTGTAGTCACAACATCCTCTACGGTGGTTGGCTTTTCACATGTTGGGATCATTCTGTATGAAGCATTGCCAGGGTGATGTGGATTAAATGCTTTCTGACAGGACCTATGTGACGGATCAGTGTTAAATTCAGCACTTCATAGATACATCATGAATATCTCTCCAGGATTAGAGCAGTTTGAGTTTGATGTGGGGGGGTTTGTTTACTTTTAAAGATGGCCAGCCAGCAAGCATCCACTACCATGGGAACATATGCAGATTGTCTTACAGAAGAGCTGGCTAAAAACATGTTGGCAAAGACAGTAATGTGTAGCTTCTTGGAAAGCTCAGAAAGGAAACTCACAAATGTTTAGCATAAGAATGATGTGTTACAAAACAGAATTAACATAAGAGATAATTGCAATACTTTGAGTCTGATCAACTTTTCAAACTCATTTCAAAACAAGAAGACTGCGTTCTTTGTTTTCTACTTCACACATTTCTTGAGAGAATGTACTTTCCATTAAGTGTTATCATTTCCCCACAGACTCCAAACTGCACTCTCTAAGTTCAGCAGTTACAATTTAGGGTTTCATTGCCACCAAGATTGTCGAGGAAATTGTGCCTGTAGAGATAATCAGGTACGCGGTAGACTTGTGAGATTAACTATCGAGCCAGATGTTGGTCTGCTTTCATTTTGTGAAAGAAGCCTGTGTCTACCTGTCTCTCTTTCTCTTTTTCTTGCAGAGTAAAGATGGTTCACAGAATGCTCCAGAATCCTTGAAGATAAACCCTTGAATGAAACCGGATCTGCTTTTATTACTGTACCCACCTGGTGCCATGGCTGCTCTAAAAGCTGAAGTACTTCTTCTCAGGTTTACAATCCTCTTTCTTTGCTTGAGTGTGTGCTTGTGTCAGCGAGACTGCACCGGTGTGGACTGTCCTCAGCTGGACAACTGTATCGAAGAAGTGCTGGACACTGGCAGCTGTTGCGCTTCATGTTTGCAGAAAGGATGCATGTGTGAGGGTTACCAATACTATGATTGCCTCCACGCTGGCTTCAAGAACGGCAAGGTGGCAGAGGGAGAGTCTTACTTTGTTGACTACGGCAGTACAGAGTGCCTCTGCCCGACAGGAGGAGGAAGAATCAGCTGTGACTTCATCAGCTGTCCTGATTTGCCGCCAAACTGCATCGATGTCTCGGAGCCTGTGGACGGTTGCATGCAGTGCGAACGAGTTGGTTGTATCTACGACGGGCAAAAGTACGACGCCGGGCACTCCTTAAACACTGACCCTTGCCAGGTGTGCCACTGTCCCCCAGAGGGAGGGAAGATGATGTGTTACCCAGTGCCAGAATGTGACCAGAACAAGGTCCATAACCCCATGTTAGCCGAACCAACAGACGAGGACAAACACAAGAGTCACGCCGAAAGGTTTGACCAACAAGGGCGAACGGATCAATTCTCAACACCACATCAACTTCCTCCCAACCTTCCCCTCTTCAAAACACTGCCTTCGGAGGGAATATTGCCCTTGATGAAGGAGGAGTCAGAAGATTATGATTACAATCCTACAGACTTTCCAGAGCCTTACCCTCAATCTCTAGCCTTGCCCACCCAGTCCTCTTCCTCCAACAAGCTCATATCTGTATCTCGAGGCTCTGACAGAACCACCGCCCTTAAGAGCTTTGATAGACAAACCAAGCTGGAGCTGAGAGAGCGACACAAAGTTCATGAACATCCTGCAGACAGAGAGGAAGTGACGGAAAGTCCAATAGGAGAACAGCAGAGGACTATTAAGCCACAAACAAAAATGGACACCACTTTTTGGCAGCCTTCACAGAGTCTAACAAGTGCTCAAAGTGTTTCAGTCAGTGACAGCACAACGAAGAAAGATCTGGAGAATCCTCTGCATGCGTTTGAGAGTTCAGATAGTGTCACATTTCCACTCATTCGGGAATTAGGGAGTGAAAAACACCCTCTTTTGAGTCCAGAGAGTGCAGTTCATCAGCAGATAAGCTCTGAGACTCAGACTTATAACCAAAGTGCATCAGAGGGTGTGACCACTATCGGTTCAAAGAATCAAATCAATGTTAGTCATACAGTGAGAGGTACAGACAGTCAAACCAATCAAGAAAATGTTCCACTTTATATGCAGAGCAGCCCAGAAAGCCCAAATGTTGAAAAAGACTTACAGGGGACCATAGCAACGGACATCGAGGAAGGAATGGATGAAGAGGAAGAAAAACTAGAAACATCTTTTAGTGTCACTGGGCCTGAAGGATTGGATGTTACCTACAATATAAATCCAACACCACAGGAGGTAATCCAGGAGGAGACAGAGGGCAGAGATCCAACCAGTAGAAAGGAAAAGATCACAACAAAGCCCACCACCAACTCCCCCACGACGCCTGACTTCCTGACAACCCCTGTGACCCAAGAAATGAGCAATACCCAGGCAGCAATAAGGGTCAATCTGCAGCAGAGTGAGCCCAGCAGAAAGCCATTTGAGAGGCTGGTTAACCTTCACAGTGATGACCAGGAAGAGGAGGTGGAGGAAGAGGAGAGAAATTACCGTCCTCTGCTCGTCCAAACTGATGGAGGTAAGTCAAAGCTTTGATTGATGGTGATTTATATTCTACATAATCTGTTCACACACATTGTCGATTTCAGTGTGGAGTCTGAAACAGATTTAGAAAACTATCACAATATATCAACTTCATTTTATGAGTAAGAGAAGTTGGCATGTCAAAACAGATGAGGGTGCGTTGAAGAATGATGGACACATATTCCACGGAAATACCTCAATATGACATATCTTTTGCTTTTGGCCTAAAAATATTGAATTACAACATTATGGGTGTCTATCAGTGCAATAATACAGGAGCAGACTTTTGTGTTCAATATCGTGCCTAAGGACACTTTGACATGTTGACTAAAAAGGGTCAGAGTTAAAACACCAACCCTCTGGTTTGTATACAATAGGGGTGTAACGGTATACGTATTCGTACCGAAATTATTCGGCATGGGCCCTTCGGTTCAGTACACGTGTGAACAAGTTCAGACCGAGCCAAAGCTATTACAAACTACTTATGTTGCCATGTTAGCAAAGCGCTACCTGGCTGTATCTGCTACCTCTGTCCCTAGAGAGGGTGTTCTCCACAGCAGGAGACATTGTTAGTGCCAGCAGATCTGCCCTTTCGGCTAGAAATGTGGACAAGTCCATTTTCTTAAAGAAAACATGAAAATACAATGACAAGCAAGTCCTAATGTCAAACTGGCTGCTTAGGTTCTAGTACAGTTCAAATACAGATGATTTCAGTTCATCGAAATGCTGCACCTTAATGTTTATTTGATTATATTTTGTATTTATTTGAGTGAATACATTATTCACAGTTCACTATACAAAAATGAACCACCCCTATGATTAATTGCGGAAAAGTTTACTGGAAACCTGGATGTTACCTTGGTTGGCCTCCTCGCTCTACAGCTGTCGGACTGAGCACTGAAGCTCATTCAGATAAAGTGTGGGAGCAAAAATGATGTCAAGCAAATATATAGTAGCACAAACAGATAATAAAACCCAAACGTTGGGCTGGGGCTTTCCCCAGCACTCTGCCAGAAAAGTGTGGACACAGGCCCTAACTCACTGGAATTGAGCTTGGCAGAAACACACCAGACAATCTGGCAGTACCAAGTGAAAGGGAGGTGGTGTTTGTGCTGTGAGGCTAATGAGGGAATGAGCAGCAGGTGAGGAGAGGGGCTGAAACCAGGTGAGCTGATTGTAAGGATCTGAGAGGAAATCATAGCCAAAACCAGACGGCCAACTTAAAGTGCGTTGAACAGCAGAGAAAATCCTTTAAATTACATTTCTTGACTCGACTTGACGTTCCTAAATGGAACAAAGATGTTTGCGGCTTGCTGTAAGGCGGCACTTGTTATTGGTTTTGCTTCAGTTTCATTCAGTTATGTGGATTTCCCAGGTTCTGTTTTGGTCTTAGTTGGACTATACTTTCTGTCAACTACTTCCATTATGAATTGCTCCAGTGCCAAGCGGCTTATCTTTCCATTATAAGTGGGGGGAAGCCACAACGCCTTACACCAGGGGTGTCAAACTCAAGGCCCGGGGGCCACATTCGGCCCGCGACTTCATTTTATGTGGCCCCACAAGAGCTTGCAAAGAATATAATATGTTTATTATATGGTTACATGCTACAGAAGCACGTTGCCCATAAACTACATGTCCCACAATGCATCTCAAATATGACTTTTTTTTCTCAGAATCTGACTTTTTTTCTTCAAAATATGCATTTTTTCATAGAATTCCTTTTTCTCAGAATTAGATTTTTATTTCAAAATGTCACTTCTATTTCTTTTTTCTCCATAATTTGGCTTTTCTTTTTAAATCATTTTGGGACATACGCACTGAAAAGACTTGCAATTATTTGCCCTAGACTTCTGCTTTCAGACGTAGTTAATTATGAAGTTATTACCCTATCCGATGATAATCCAATGCAGAGGCAATGATGTAATATAATACATTATTTTATATATATGATATATTTATATATGTATTTTTATACAGTCTTAAAGTTACAACCGGCCCTTTGAGTGCAACCATAATGCTGATGTAGCCCGCGATGAAATTGAGTTTGACCCCCCTGCCTTACACTCATGAGTAATTGTTGAACTACAAATGGTTATAGATCTGTGTCCCTCTTCCCCCTCTTGGATTGTAGCATCCGTCTGTGTTACTATATATGTGTTTGAAGTTATTTTTACACTATGTTCACCCACCAGAAGATGCTTGCTCTCACACTTTGACAGATTGAGCTTCACCGCTCAGTCTGACAGCTGTAGAGCGAGTGTGACGATCTGCGTACATATGAAATCTGAGATAAAAGTCACACAAACCGACAGGCTTTAGGTTTTTGTTATGATAGTTTCCATCTGACAGACACGGCAAAAAACAAGCTTCTCCTCCAATGTCTACAGTGATGTCACCTGTCTGAAAAGTTGAAATATTTTCAAATGGAAACACTGGGAGCGGTCGTACAAAAAAAAGGCTCTAAGCTTCAGACGTCATGCACTCTGTTTTCATTGGAATATATAAAAAAAGACTCAGAAAAAGCTAATATGTGGACACAGGCCCTAAAACAGTTCTCTAATAATGGCAAATACTTGTGTGGAATGCTCCAGCACTTAATCAATCTGAACTCTATTGCTCAGAGAATTATTTCTGCACTTTAGTACCCTGAATCTGAATCTTACGTAAATCATTGAAACGTCTTAATGTTTAACAGTCGCAGAACAATCCTCCCTTTGTCCGTCCTGCTGTAAGTATAACTCCAGGCCATATGTCATGAGTGTATAGAAGCAGTGGAGGTCCCCAGGTATAAAACAGGAGCATAAATAGTGATCTCAGGGTCTGTCTGGAGCAACGAGTCAAACTCTCATGTGGTGAAAACACTCTCAAAGCAGTCTTATAGCCGTCAGCACCATCGCTCACTCCTCAGTCACTGTTTTACTGCGCGTTGCCTCAAAACTCCCGAGGAGACGGATACGGGAGCTGGAGAATCTGGATTTGGTTATAAATTATCTCTCTGGCCTCCAGCCTTTCGATGGTTTCATTTCAGGAGGATTTTTAAAAACCTTCATTTGGAATATTTGAAACTATATATTTGTCAGTATAACGATGTCTGAGCTGTTCAATTAAACTCTACGGACGTACTGTCAGAGATGGCAAAAGTACATACGTATTTTAGTCAAGTAGAAGTACAGATACTCATGTTTAAAAATACTCTGGTAAAAGTAGAAGTACTGACTAAACTTCTTTACTCAAGTAAAAGTAAAGAAGTATGGGCTTCGAAATGTACTTAAAGGTGGGGTAGGTAAGTTTGAGAAACCGGCTCGAGATACACTTTTTGTTATATTCCATGGAATGCTCTTAACATCCCGATAGCAATGAATATCTTAAATGCTTTGACAAAAAATCCATAAAAGAATATCATCTGTGGAAGCCGTGGCGCTGTAAAAAGCACGACCAATCATCTGAGCCGGCTAAAGTAACTGGATGGCCTACCTGCCTGTCAGCCTTCCATCTGTGCACAAACTTATCTTGTGCCCTCATTGGTCATGTGCGCATTCGTGTGTGTTGGAGGAGGGGCTCTGTAAGGAAGTGGCAGATTTTTTCCGGCTGTGTATTTTCAAAATCTAGCGCACTCGAGCTGGTTTCTCCAAAATTACCTACCCCACCTTTAAGTAAAAAGTACCCATAACTTTGTGTCCTTGGGCAAAACACTTCACCCTAATTTGCTGTATGTGTGTGTCTACAGAAGGTCCAGTTGTGATAGACACGGTTCGCCACTGGGGTCATAAGATTCTAGGTAATATGGTCTTGCCAAAAAACAGCAAGGGCGTTATTTAGCATCAAGCTAACATAGCATGGTTTCCTTCGCTTTTTGTAGTTTCAGGTGATTTCAGAATATTGACTCTTCAATATATCTGATCTCCAAGCTTAAAACGCAACAAGCTTTATTAACATCTTCATCTGTTTGTTGGAGAGGACTTATTTTGTGTTGCTGTGCAGTACTTCACCTCTCCCCTGCCTGAATATTGCATAAATGGCGCTCAGCCAGTCAGATGTTCTGAACAGTCTGTCAGGGTGATAGAGTGTGATTTATTTGTCAGGTAGCTGCTTCGCACTCTCCGTCTCTGGACTCAGTCACTCCTGGAGAGCTTTTCAAAGGTTCCTGACTCAGTTAATCAGGCATGATGACACCAGCTGTCTGAGCCGTGAACATCTCCATCTGCTCCGGACGCTTTGAAAAGACGTTTGTGAATCATTCAAACTTCACTGATTTTATTCAATTCAATTGGACAGTTGATTGCATTTATTTGAAAAGAAATAAGCAGGCATGTCATTTTCTATCAGCACTTAGATGGCGACTTGAGATAAGCTAGTCTCTAGATCAGTGATTCTCAAATGGGGGTACGCGGACCCCTAGGGGTACGTTGGGGTACTGCAGGGGGTACGTGAGATAAAAATAAATAAAAAGGTTAATAAAAAAAATAGCATTCATGATTACAAAAATAATCTTAGTACAAAAAGTTAAATAGAAAACACCATTTTATATAAAATATTCCTATAACCACTAAGGGGGTCCTCATATAAACATGTCAAATGTGTGTATTGTATTTTATAGTTTTTCATAATATATCATTGGTTTGTTAAACACATATTACTTCAATTGAAAAACTCCTTGGAAAACTCTGTTTTAATTTGTTTTTGTCATGTTATCCTTAGTTTGTTGTAATTCATGCATGAAGGAGTTTATACATCCCTCACTGATGGAACATCACTATATTTTTTTAATCATAAATCTCCGGGGTCGGTTAGGGGGTACTTGGCTGAGAAAATGTTTCAAAGGGGGTACACTACTGAAAACATTTGAGAAGCACTGCCCTAGATGACTGTTTAGAAAATGAGCACCCGACACAAAGCACTTAATGCTTTCATGCTATCATGCTAAAAGACTTAAGCCAAATTAAATGCATGTGTCCCAGGCCACAAGTCTGTAACAGCTGATGATCCATTACGTCG